GTGCATCATACGCGCAACTAGGGTAGATTTCAAATTGTTCCGTTTTTCTTTTTACCTGATAGCAAGTGATAAAAATAAAAATAGTATAATGGTTAATAAATCATGTGATCACTTTTTCGTTTTGTTTAGACCCTTAAGTCCTCAAATTATCAAGTGAGATCAATCGCTGACCTCTTTCTCCTTATCGCATCATCAGAATTGTTTTTCTGGATTTTCTTGAGTATGAAATTTTTATGTTTAGATAAAAAATAATCATTCTTCTCATACGTGAGTTAACTTTTAGACTCTTATGCCACTAGGCTCAACATTGGAGTTAGGAGGAGAACTCAACTTACTCTTTTATCTACCGTCACTGGAGTACAATAAAACCCTCTATGTAGGCACTATTCTATAAAGTGACTGCCTACTCATTGTGTGCACTTTAAAGTTCAATAGAGCTATCCCAGATTGAAGCAAAATCCTTTGAAGTGGACGCCACTCTATTTTTGACGGTTGTCACCTATTTTTGGTTTCAAGCAGGAAAAGAGACCTTTCGAGTGTGAGCACGAGATACTGCGATACAGCAGAATAGACGAATTGTTGAAAGGTCGAAATATTGCTTTTTTCCGACGAAATCGAGTGTTTGAAAATTTTGCTTGGAGTTGGCATGTGACCAGTGCTAAAATCTCAACAGAATTAGAAAATGACTTTTAACACGGCTAGAAGTGAGACATAATTTGATAGACAAACTCGTGAAAAGAAAATGTATTAAATACGTATATATATATATATATATAAGTCACCTTCCGGTTGTTAAAAATGGGACTAGAATATTTTTGAAAACTTTTGTAACGTGATCATCCTCGTAGAGCGACTGTTGTAAAAAAGCTTTGAAGGTGCACGCAATAAAGTATATTAACTGTAAATGTATCGTTACAAAAAACCGGCGAAACTCACATATTTAAGTTGAAGTACTGCTAGCTATGACCCAAGTTAGATTAACTGTTTCTCATAGCATCTAAAGCAGTTTGTTATAACAAAAGTAGTCATGATCGACAGTGAAGTCCTTAACAAAATCTAAATATAGAAAGTCAAACAAACCGTAGATAATAGGTACACTAAGAGTTTTTTCAGTTATTTCTCATTTTTTACTGTAAATGTAAGTTGACGTTACGCATCTATGGTAAAAAACCTAGGAAAAAAAATAGTGTTTTTCAGAAAAGTGGATTTCATCATCGAAACCGGTGAGCCATTTTTCTCCCCAGCGCAGACTGGAGAAAGACTTGATATTTTCACGAGAGACAAAACAAGACTTGCTCTATCAAAAACCGATATCAGAATTTTGTGATATATGACACAGGCATTTTCGTCACACTCGACAGAACTTTCGTCAGGTTAAGTGAATTTTCGCCACAGCCCCAAAAAGCACTCTAAAATTCACAGGAACTTACGCCGCCATGCTTTTTTCTGAAAAACGCATGGATTTTCGTCACACGCGATGAAAGTACACATCCCTCTATGACGAAAGTGCCTTTTACGATCAACAAATTTGCTGTCAGTTGAAATATGTTTATATTTTTGGTTTTATTTATATATGAATAAATTATTAATTACTAAATGAACATCAAAATTATAATTTTTCCACAAACTGATTGATTATACTTATTATGAGAGTAAATAAAGCAACGAATAAATGATAAAAATCTCGATGCTAATAGAAATTGACACCATAAATTAGTAAACTTTGTTACTCGTGGTAAGAAATTCTGCTATTCTAAGACCATATACAGAAAAAAGAGATATAAGTATATTTTATAATCTGTCTTCTTTCATAATTCTCAGCAAGATATTTACTTTCATTTTTCGTCTCGTATTGTTTTAATTTTTAAGAAGATCATGTTCTCCATGGGTGTTTATAGTCACCATATGTCACAGATGTCTCTTACTGCTAAATAACAGTGAATAAACAGATGTGTGAAAAACACTCTGGACTTAAAATTCTTTCTCAAACTAATAAAGCCAAGATTTCAGAATTAACCATGAACTAATCGCTTGATGACTTAACAAACAAAAGTTTTCAAAACAGAAAAGAAGACTATTATTTTTCTCTATTATTTAGATTTAAATGTACCGCAAAAAAATTTAAGACTTTTAATGTCAATTCTAATCACTGAATTTATCGAATTGTTGTTCGTTTCAACTTTATAGTGCTACAAAAGTCATAAATTCACTATTATCACTGTGCATACAAGTGGTTCAGCTACGATTAATTACTTTAAAAGTACAATTCTATAACTCTTGTTTTTTGTTATTAAAGTAATATTTTTTCTGATTTGTCGCTGTTGTTTGATGATTTTGACATGTTCTCAGATATTTTCTCCGTGCATCTGTAGACAATGTTAATATCGAGGATGTTGTTGTTGATGATTGTTGATCATTAATACCTTCTTTCTTGTATTTGACACGTCTATTTTGAAACCATATTTTCACTTGTTTTTCGGTTAAATTTAAATATGAGGCGATTTCAATACGTCGTAAACGTGATAGATACATGGATGTAGAAAATTCACGTTCTAATTCGAGTAATTGTGTCGACGTAAAGGCAGTACGCATACGTTTAAACTCAAATGGTATTAATTTATCGTTAGCCGAAGTATTTGTTGAATCAGAGGCTAAAACTAAAGAGATCAGTGCAATTGAACAGAACTGGACATAGATTTCTTAACCCGAAATATCTCTTCTTTTTTTTTGGCAAATGTTAGCAAATATCTGACAGACATTTAGTCTATGTATGAACTGAAACTGAACTGATAATAATTTTATTACAGTATAACAGATATACATACATATATCGCTCGTAATTCAGTCATTTTTTTTATCCAGATTAGAAACAATTTTTATCGTCATGGTAATCATCTTCAAACTGTAAGGATTGAAACTATCAACTGGTTTCGTATCTGATGGAAAAAGGTCATCAGGTGTCATATTGGTAGACTAATTAGTCGTCATACGTGAAGCGATCATTTTTTCTCGTATCATAAGAGATCTTGTTCTTTTAGAGAGAACCGGTACTAGTTTTTATTCAACAGAACTTTCACAGAACTATGACACTTCTAGTACTTCCATTCCAATAACATGTACATATTTACACCGCTGATTTTTAATCGAATTTTTTGCAAGATTTCACTGTGAAAGTCTTGAACGTTTTTACATTTCTAAATGGACAAAATCTTGTGAATCTAATGGTAAAATTTGTTTTCAATTTAGATAGAAAACAGTTGAGTTATGACCAATCCATTGAACTGGACAGATACGTACTGAATTGCTCGCTCATATATGCCAAGAGAGAAAAAGAAAGCGCATGTCGTACTTATTTGATACGACTCTATAATCAATCGAGACATGTATATATTGATAATAAGTTGTGACTAATAGCTAATGTATTAATACGCTCGCTTACCCGATTCATGTGATCTATTGATAATATTCAATTTTTGTTCATCTGTTGACATTGATCTTTCAAATTTTTTATGATGTTGTGGTTTATGTGAATATTTTTGTAAATGTTTTTGATATTTTGTTTTATGATGTATAATTCCATTATTTGTTGTTTCAATACTTGCACAATTACCAATGGATGAATTATAACTATTTGTTAAAATTCCAACATACGGATTGATTGAACGTAAAATATTTGCTAACGGATGAATAAATGATGTTGAATGATACGATGATGTTATCGGTTGAATTTCTGTTGAAATTAAATCATTATCAGAATTAGATATTGTTGATTTATCATTATCATTATGAGATGATATTAAATAGTCTATATTAAATGCTGCTTTACGAACGGAAGGTTGTTTGATCATTATCATGTAGAATATATTTTATTATGAAAACACATTTTATATTGTCGTTTCCTATTCTTTATCATTAAAATGTTAACGAATGAAAATTTATCGATCTGAAAAAAGTAGAATGTTTTAAGAACCAATGAAAAGAAGAACAGGAAGTATGTTTATATATAAATATCTGTTTTGCGTGACATGTTCATCCACTAGAGAAATGACTAGTTAAATGTATTCGAATAATAACATGATTAACGTGTAAAATAATAATAATATAGATCCTATACAAATCTTATCTACAATAGTTCAGGAAAATCGTCTCTTAAAGATTTTATATTAAACTATTAGAAACCATTTCATTGTGGCAAATAATATAGGAGAAACTGCTAAAAAATATGAATAAAATTATTTTCTATGACATTAGTAAAAATAAAACAAAAAAAAAGAAGAGAATTAATCAACGAGTAATCAAAAAAATTCAAATTTTTTGAGCAGTATCGAGAGTTATTTAATTTATTTTTATGTTGACTATAAAAGAAAAAATATAGTAGAATTTTCTCTTATTTTCCATTTCTAACAGGCAGTTTTTATACCTTGATTTTGAAAAGCTATTATTCATCTAATATCAATGTTAAATTTATTAACATCTCTTGGGATGATCCTATTATTATCATGTAGATTAACAACGGTAATAAATTTGATTCTTTGTTTCAAATGAAAAATGGGCGTATGCTGTATTTTTCAATTATCAAGTTTATGTTCTCAATGGTACCATTAGAGATTAAAATAAATTATATTCTATTAAAATGTTCTTTTTAACAAATCTGACTTTAAAAAAAAGAAAAACAAAATTCATTATACCCTAATAATGAAAAATAGTATGAGAAATGAACATTAATTTTTGTTGGTATGTGAAGAATCGTTCAATGAAAATTTATTTTTCTAATGATTGTACGATGTTGTGCTCATGAATGAAAGAGTTTTCTAAACACTGTTAAACACTTTAATTTTGGAAAAATTTATAGTTTTTATTATCTAATCGGAAAAGTTCACATAAAACAATATATTTTTTTTTAAAGAATATACTCTATAGGGATCGAGATCGTTGATATTTTCATTCCATTAATCAATTGGGTTTCATCAACAGTCTCTGTTTTGTGTAATTGACTACAATGAAGATATTAAACCGATAAGTGAAATTAAAACAATTATTATTTATTCGATGACGTTTGTTCGATTATGCGACATATATATTGCAATGTGTAATAGTTCACTGTTTATTGTCTTCGTTTATCTATTATTTCTAATAATGATTATATGAATAATTAATAGAAATAATAACTATAGAAAAATGAATGTATAGAACGAGAAAAACATACTAAAACAATTTAATGAGATCAGAATACCGGAAGAGAGACGTTAACAACTGGACAATGTTATTTATATGGTATGAACACATTAATTAATGAGCAATGAGATTTTTATAAACTATACACATGTGGTTGCGTGACACAACTATGGAAAATGATATATGCTGTGTTCTTTTGACAATTCAAAAAAATCAATTTGACATTTGACTTCTTCCTTTTTTCACAATCATAAAATAACTTTAACTTATGTTATGTATATATATCTAACCGAATGTAATTTTCTGATGTACGAAATGTGAAACTCGACTTGATACAATTTTAATTTAGTTTTATTTTTATAATCATTTTTTTTAGTTACTAGAGACTCAAATAGAACTCATTTCTGGTAGAATCAAAAGAAGATTTTTTTACCAATCGATAGCGCACTTGATGCTGATTCCCAATATATGTTTGTTTGCCCAATACCTATGTTTGATTTTTTAAAATTTTTGCGTATAATCCGATTTTCCGATGGACACGGGTTTTTTAGTGTGTTTTTGTGTATAGGATTTTCCCAGCTTAAATAAGTTCTAGAACATAAAAATTTTTGCCATTAAATAGAGCATGTTTCAAAGTATATTAATCATCCTTAAAATTACTGAAAAATCAACTTTCATTTTTTCATCAAAAGCCGGCCTGGACACACTGTGCTCCATCCACACCGTATGAGGGTCCTATTATTCCTTGCTCTTATCGAATAAACAATGATAACTTTCACATGATAAGAATGGAGCACAATGTCACTGACTGCTGCACATATTGTGCTCCTCTCCATTAAATATTTCTTTTCATTTTACCAGCCTTCTTTTGATTTTTCCAGAACGAGTTCTATTTGACTCTTTTGTAACGGAAAAAAAACAATTATAAAACTAAAGCGTAATTGCTGGTATTTGGCAAATAAGCCATTATCCCCTAAACACTACTAAATTAAAATCTATTTAATCTAAAAGATAGAGCATTTACAGTTCTCTCTCCAATAATATTCATCTATTCAATAATTGATCAGTAACAGCCATTACCATCCAAAAAACACGTAATAGTTTAAATAAATGTAAGAAAAAAACTCTGTACAGATTTAGAATAGTATTTGCTTGCGTCCTACAATGTTGGTGGTTGTTACTGGAGAGAATTCTAGGCGCTCAATCTTTTGACTTTAACGAACTTTAATGTATTCATCAAGTACCCTAGAATTATAGGTATAAAAGACTTTCAGCAATGTTTACTGTCACGTCGAAGCATCTCTAAAAATAGACAGCTGTTCATAATTTTGTCATTTTTAAATTTTAATTAAAATTTTTATTAAAACCGTTGATTACTGTGAAAATAACAAAGCTTTCAAATTCATACTACTTATGTTCAAATTTCTGACCGTTATTAAACTCAATTACAAACATCCCTCGCAATTTTCCTACTTATATAATCTTTTGATTGTTAGTGATACAGTAGTACTTCCATAGTTAAAAATTAGTTTTTCATTTAATATTTTAGTTTAATAAAAGAACAGTTTAGAAATGTCAAGTGTACTTATCATCAGATCAAGTATAATTCTCATCTTTATTATCGAACATTCAAAAAATTTGTTTATCTTTGTATTTAATAGCGATCAATTCTAAAGCTTTTAAAAAAATGAAAATCTTCGTTCTTTTCATCGTACGAATATTTCTCTTTCTGTCATAAACAATGTTTTTATTCAACAAAGTTCAATGACAAGAGAGTTGTTGAGCAATATCACTACACTTTAAAATCTTTTCAATGAGACAATTGTTTTTATTTTGTTTTAATTGATTGATACGCCGATTATATACAGATATTGACAATTTTGAATGCAGTTAAAGTATCAATGGGAAGAGGAATGTTAACCTCTTATTAGGAAAATGTTCTATTGTAACAGAATTTCAGGAAGAATAGGTAACATCAGAGCAAATTGCCCCTTTCTCTAAATCAAATTGAAGTTCTAAATGATTTATCCTGTAAAAAATGTGCCAATGGCACATTCTTATTAAGTAAATTTTGTTTTGGCACATTATAAGGCGCACAAATACACCGTTTGGAGACGTATTCATGTACCGAAAAGGACGAGATCGTCTAAGATTGATGACCGACCCATTTTACTTCTGGCCTCATACGTGTGTGTCATGAGGAGTTTTAGGAGCGTTTTATGACTGCGCGCGTGTTTGTTTGCTAAAATTCGAGTAGTTCCTGGTCAAATCACTCCTCAAAGATCATCTATACAGTATATTCGCATGTTGTTTGTGCTTATGACACAAAGTAACTAAATGCTTTAACAGCTCTTTATAAAGTTGTTAATATATTGTACACACAATCTACACTGAAACCACTGGCGGATCCAACCAGTAACCAGCAAAACTGTCTCCAAAAATTGTATTTTTGTGACGACCGCATGTACCTAAGAAAAATTCTGAATGCGCCGCCGACTGAAACTCTTATAATCATTCTACAGTACTTAGCTGAATTATGAAGGAATGATTTTGTGATCGTAATCATCAGTTTGAATGTGTTCTTCTACATAGTATTTTGTAATTAAGACACATTGTATAGCACATATCTGTCGAACTGAAAAGTAATAACGAATCGTTGCGGAACAAAATGCATTGAAATTTTTTCTGGTAAATATATTGATGATCTACCAAACAGACAAAGACTTTTTTCAATTGTTTACGGCTTCATCTCTATATTAAATATCACTCTCAATCAGGATTGCCAACTGTTCTCCCGCGTCAGTGTTAGTTCCTCCTAGTAGTTTTGAATTTTCTCCCTCCCCTCCCTAAAAACGTGTCTATGATCCGAATAGCAAATATTTCATCATCGAGAGATCAATAAGAGATTCATATAATCAACTCTTTCAAAAGAGATATGAATGTACAAGTTTTTACTGCAAGTAGAAATTTTCAAGACACGAATTTTACTCAAATAAAAACATGAAAAAACATTTGAAAAATAGCTGAACTGATAAATTTCTTTTTTGAACATACTAGGCCGAAAATGAGAAATAAAATGAATTTCCTTAGTTAGAAACGATCGCTTTTCTGTCGGAAAATCTTCAAAAGATGTTTTTTTATACTTTAATTTAAGATGCTTGTATCGGAAAAGTAGGGTTTATTTGCCCTGCATTTTTTGATAAAATGTCCTCGTATGTCCATTACTTGCCTGTAACTTGTCCATCATTGAAACTTTTAGACTCTGCTCTCAAAGTATTTTTTTATATACAACATCATACATCTTGTCGCTTACGCGGCAATAACAGCTACTAAAAATGTTGATTTCGAAATTTGGAAAAAATGGAAAAAAGCCCGTATGTCTAAAAAAATAGCGCTTTCATTGACAAAAAGTATGGGTATTCATAAACAGTGCTTTTTTGTCCCTCTAGAATCAGCGCGATGTAGCACAGCTCAGACTTGACTTAGACTTTATCGAAAATATGGAAAAGATAGCTGACAGTTAGCATAACATTGATATAAAAAGAAATTAATTTAACTATGTCTTTCGTTAGAGAGGAGCAAAACATTTTTAAACTATTTTCACAATAAATGTCCCGCAAGTTTTGGAAAAATATTTTACTAATATCTCCCAAACAAAACTATCCAACACTTGGCTTTC